CTATTTTGGTCATGTTGTAAGAAGGGACCATTCCCTGGAGAAGGATGTCATGCTTGGTAGGGTGGAGGGTCGACGAAAGAGGGGGAGGCCTTCAGGGAGATGGATTGATACAGTGGCTGCGATGATGGGCTCGAGTATAGCATGGATTGTGGGGCTGGCGCGGGATCGGGCATGTTTCGTTCTGCTGTGCATGGGGTCGCTATGAGTCGGAAACGACTCGACGGCACTTAACAACAACAACATATACAATACACAACCTGTGAATAATGAATTTACTGTTTCCTTTTAATCTTTGTATCTTTTATTTGTCTTACTTTATTAACTATGCTCCTCAGTACAATCTGGTAGAAAAGTGATGACAAGCAGGCATGCTTGCTTTTTCCCCAGCATCAGTGAAAGCTTTCAACATTTCACCATTAAGTATGTTTGTTCTTTTTGTAAATTACTTTCAGATTAAGGAATTTTTTTTCTATTTCTAGTTTGCTAAATGTATTTGTCATGCATTGTCCAGTTTTCTTCATTTACTAAAATGATCCTATGATTTTACACTGATAATCTGCCAATGGGGTATACTACACTAATTGATTTTTAAATGTTCAAGTAGCCTCAAATGTATAGTTACATTGTTTTCTTTTATTAATTGCTAGATTCAACTTGCCAATATTTTGGTAAGGATTTCTGCATGCATGTTCATGACTAAGACTGGGAACCATTTTCCTTTCCTGTAAAGTCTTTGTTAGGTTTTGGTATCAAATTAATTGAAAAGCACTCCTTCTTTCTTGTATTCCTTGGAAGAATGTGTGTAAGATGGATTACTTCTTAACTTGGTAGAATTCAGTAAGCCATCTTGGCCTAGTTTCATACTTGTGTGAAGGCTATTTATGACAGATTCGAGTTCTTTAACAGGCACAAGGCTATTTAGGTTGTCCTTTTCTTTTAAAAAAAATTTTATTGACTTTTTTTGAAGAGTACCTTTCAGAAAGGAGCAGTATAATAGGTTTAGAGGTTGACAACTTTTCAAAAATAAAAACACACAGCCATGTATCTTGAACCTAGGTCAAGATATAGAACATTAACAAGCACCCTGAATCTGAGTGTGCTAACCTGTCACTAACACTACCCTGAAAAGGTAATCTCTGTTAGACTTCTATGAATGATTAATTTTGGCTGTTCTTGAACTATACTTTTGGGTCTGGGTTCTTTATTTTACTCAAATTATGTGTGAGATTGTTTCATATTTTTGTGTGTAGTTGGAGATTGTTCATGCTCATTACTATAGAATATTTCACTGTGTAAATATGTCATGATTTATTAATCTATTCTACTGATTAGGTAGATGGGTATTTGGATGTTGTTGTTAGGTGCCGCTGAATTGGCTCTGACTCACAGCAATCTTATTATGTACAGCAGAATGAAACAACACCCAGTTGCAGCCATAGTGACAATCCGTCTCGTTGAGGGTCTTCACCTTTTTTGCTGCCCCTTGACTTTACCAAGCATGATATCCTTTTCCAGGGATTGGTCCCTTCTGACAACATGACCAAAGTATTTGAAGTGGAGTCTGGCCATTCTCACTTGTAAAAGGAGCATTCTGGCTGGACTTATTCCAAGACTTATTTGTTCCTTCCTCTGGCAGTCCATGGTATTTTCAGTACTCTTTGCCACACTACAATTCAAATGCATTAACTCTTCTTTGGTCTTCCTTATTCACGTCCAGTTTTCACATGCATATGAGGCTACTGAAAATACTATGGCTGGGGTCAGGTGCATCTTAGTCTTCAAAGTGACATCCTTTCCTCTTTAACACTTGAAAGAGGTCTTTTGGAACACATTTTGCCCAGTGAAATATGTTGTCGTGATTTCCTAACTGCTGCTGCCATGAATGTTGATTATGGATCCAAGTAAAATGAAATCTTCAATCTTTTCTCTATTTATTGTGATGCTGTTTATTGGTCTAGGTGTCAGGATTTTTGCTTTATGTTGACATGTAATCCATATCGAAGGCTGTGGCTTTTGATCTTCATCAGTAAGTGCTTCAAGTCATTTTCACTTTCAGCAAGCAAGGTTGTGTCATGTGCATATCACAGGTTGTTAACAAGTCTTCTTTAAATTCAGATTCTCCATTCTTCTTCATATAGTTCAGCCTCTTAGATTATTGGTTCAGTATACAAATTGAATTAATTTTGGTGAAAAGATACAACCCTGATGCATACCTTTCCTCATTTTAAATCATTCAGTATCCCCTTGTTCTGTCTGAACAACTGCTTCTTGGTCTATGTACTGGTTCCTCATAAGCACAATTAAGTGTTCTGAAATTAAGCGTTCTTGATGTCATCCCACAATTCGTCTGGTCTTCAGTCACTGGTGTTCAATGCGTCAAATGTATTTTTTAGATGGTGTCTAAATTTAGGTGGGATATACAAGGTTGTATTTTGGCTCTCCTAGACTTGTTTTAATTTTTTAAAATTAAACTTGTTAGACTTGTTTGCAATGCTACCCATAATTTGTTATGATCCACAAAGTTGAATGCCTTTGCAGTCAATAAAACACAGGTAAATATCTCTCTGGTATTTTTTGCTTTTAAACAACACCCACCTGACATCAGTAATGATATTCCTCCTTCCATGCCCTCTTCCGAACCTATCTTAAATATATGGCAGTTCCCTACTGATAAACTACTGCAACCATTTCTGAATTATCTTCAGCAAAATTTTACTTGTGTGTGATATTAATTATACTGTTTTATGATTCCCACATTCTGTTGAATCACCTTTCCTTGCAATGGGCACAAACATGAATCTCTTCCAGTTGGTTGGCCAGGCAGTTGTCTTCCAAATTTCTGGGCATAAACAAGTGAGCACCTCCAGTGTTCCAGCCATGTGTAGAAACAAATCAATGTGTATTAACAAATCAATGTGTATTCTTTCAGTTTCTGGAGCCTTGTTTTTTGCCAGTTCCTTCAGTACAGGATGGATATCTTCCTTCAGTAACACTGTTTCTTGATCATATGCTGCCTCCTGAAATGGCTGAACACCCACTCATTCTTTTTGGTACAGTGATTGTATATTCTTTCCATCTTCTTTTGATGCTTCCTGCATCATCCAACAGAATCCTTCAATTTGCCCATAGAATGCTATATTGCAAGTTGAGGCTTGCATTTTTTTCTTCAGTTCTTTCAGTTTGAGAAATGTCAAGCATGTTCTTTCCCTTTTCTTTTTCCAATTTTAGGTCTTTGCATATTTCATTATAATACTTCTTCTTGAGCTACCCTTTGAAATCTTCTGTTCAGCTCTTTTACTTCATTTCTTAAATTTGCTTTAGCTACTCTTCAGTTCAAGAGCAAGTTTCAGAGTCTCTTCTGACATCCATTTTGGTCTATTCTTTCTTTCCTGTCTTTTTAATGACTTTTGCTTTCCTCATGTATGATGTTCTTGATGTCATCCCACGACTCGTATGGTCTTCAGTCACTGGTGTTCAATGCGTCAAATGTATTTTTCAGAGGGTCTCTAAATTTAGGTGGGCTATACAAGGTTGTATTTTGGCTCTCCTAGACTTGTTTTAATTTTCTTCAGCTTCAACTTGAAGCTTCTCCGTTGCCTCTTTCCACAGATGCAGTTCATTTGATTTCTGTGTATTCCATCTGGTGAGGTCCACGTGTATAATCACCATTATTGTTGTTGAAAAAGGTATTGCTATGAGTAAGTCTTTGGTCTTGAAAAATTCTATCATGCAGTTTCTGGCATCATTCCTATCACCAAGGCCGTGTTTTCCAACTACTGACACTTCTTTGTTTCCAAGTTTCTCATACCATTCAGCAGTAATTATCTATACATTTCGATTGTATATGTCTAGTCAGTATCATGGGTATTTGGATAATTTCCAGTTTTCAATTATTTTGAAAGTACCTGTTAGCAATCTAGGAAGTGTACATAAGCCTTTCTGTTGAGAATGTACCTAGGAATGGGACTACTGAGCACAAGTTGTGTGCATGCTCAGCTTTAAGAAACTCTGTAAACAGTGTTCCCATGTGGATATACTAATTTACACTACTACCAGTGTTGAATTTTAGTTGTTCCACATCCTTACCAACAACTGGCATTCTGTGTTTTTCATTTTTAGTTATTCTGGTGTGTGGGTAGTATTACACTGTGGTTTTAATTTATATTTCCAAAGTTAATTGAACACCGTATTTCGTATGTTCACTAGCCATCTGGATATTCTCTTTTGAGAAGTTCTTTGCCTATTTTTCTAGGTAGTTGCCTCTGCTACTTTTTAAATGTCTACTGGATGTGTAGTGATATCCCCATTTTCAGCCCTTATTATTTATGATTTTTTTTGTTTTAATTGATCGTTCTTATGAAGGGCTTAACACTTTTATAGTACTTTTTAAGAAAAAACTTTTGGCTTTGTTGATTCTTTCTACTGTGTTTGTTTCCATTTATAAATTTCTGAATCTATCTTCTTTGAATATAAAGGATTATTCTTTTTCTAATTTCTCACGATCTTTGATTTTCAACATTTTTTTCCTTACATATTTAAGATTCTACATTTTCTTTCAACAAGGCTACTGTTCTGGTTACCTAGTGCTGCTCTGACAAGAAATATACCACAAATGGGATGGCCTTAACAAACAGGAGTTTATTTTCTTACAGTTCAGGAGGCTAGAGGTCCAAGTTCAAAGTGCCAGGCTCTAGGGGCTGGGTGAAAGCTCCTCAACCTTGGGGTCCAGCTCTGCCTCCTGCTCCCGGCCCACTGGAGCTAGAGGTGTTTATTCACTCAGACAGCTGCTGGCTGCTGAGGCTGAGAAGCCCCAAGGTTGACA